TGCCAAATAAATGGAAACTGGCAAAGAAAACTTCGAAAACTGAAAGGAGTTTGATAATAAAGCATCTTCTTTTTTAAATGAAAATTTTTCTTATAAGGAAGCGTAGTTGGAATGCAATACTTCATTCTTTTTCGCTAAATCTCTCTACTTATTTAAAATTATGCTCCCTTAACTTTTACGCTTACACAAGTGAGTCTTTGAAAAGGCCCTATTAGTTATCAGTTACTATGAATAACTCTATATAGCATCCCGATTATAACACGTTCATTTAGACGAGCTGAGGAAATTTGCGAAAGCTTTTAATTTTGCATTAGTGTAAACGAAAAGAGAAGTTTTAATGATGGAAATTACCTTTTTATTAATGTAAGCATTATTTTTTTGTTCAAGAAAGTATTATAGAGTTCAACAACAGTCTTCGCTGAGATAGCAGAAAGAGATTCCGAAATCTGAATGACTAATAATAACATAAAAAATGAGTACAAGTCTCTTTAATTCGAACTTTCGTCTATTCGCAAAAACTTCAGAAAAAAAGGAAACTACAGAAGATTCACAATACTTATGTGATAGTGAGAATAAAATAGTTGCTATGGTGAAGTTATTAGATTATGTTGCTTGAAGTTAAGTATGAGTACATAAGGGTTATCTTCTTGGGGAAATGATGGGCTTCTTAGGGAACATGCTAAAGATAAGTAATACGTGGATGAAATTGCAGTCTCTCATAACTAGACTGATTCTTCCTGGGAATAAGTTCTAACGTGAAACTTCATTTATCTTATTCATGGGTCATATCCTAATGAATGAAAAAAGAAGACTCAGAAATTTGTCAAAGGCAAGAAATCAGAATGCGAACGAGTAATTTCGTCTCTAGCCACGATATTCTATTTTTCAACGCATAACTGCTACTTCTGCTTTCCTTGAACTTTATATATTAATTTAAGAGACAGGAAAAATGAAACATTTTCTTCTGCCACTTAGAAAGCTTTATCGTGGTGATTTGTACTGTGTCAGAGCGAATGTCAGAATAAAATATTTCCTAAACTGTCTATTGAACCATATCAGAACAAATAATATTGTATTCTGAATGTTAAGTATAAATGAGGGGATGTATTTCATTTCGTTTTAGAAATTTGTTACAGCATCTTCAAGTTTTAAATTATGTAATACTATTCCCCTAATTAAATCTAAAGCACTAGCTTCTGAAACTATACTGTAATAACTCAAAAAAATTATAACTAATAAACTAATAACTCCTAAAAGTCAGCCAAAAAGTCTAAGATGGATGCAAGTTTTAGATAAAACTCTATTGATTTCGAGAATAATTGATGGCAAAACACTTTTCATTTAATTAGGTTAGGTTATTTTAACTGTCAAAGAACACAAGGGCTATCCGCCTAAGGAGAGGGATGCCTTCGTGGAGGATTGCCTAAGGGATATTGACTCGTATTCACGCTACACATGGGCAAAACCTCAAAAACCAACCATGCAGCCGACACGAGCGTCTGAGTTAGGACACGTTTCATCGGGTTAAGTATGGTTATTTGAAAATGAAAAAGCACACAAGGGTTATCTACTTAAGAAGAAGAATGCCTTTGTGGAGGGCGTTCAGAAGGAAACTGACTATTGTTCACTTTATACATAGGAAAAGCAACCAACCATGCAGCCAACTGTGGGCCTGGTTAGTGCTCGGAACGAGCTTCCAGTATTCAACAATGTTTAACACCTTGTCCATTGGTGGGGCGTTTTCATCGGGAGCTCCTGAAGAAGAGGGACCGGTATCAGCCTCATTTGAAATCATTAGAGCTCTTTTCAAAGTCTAAACCAGTCTAAGGCCTTTCCTTGCTTCATTTTACATTTTACTGTGGCGTGTTCCTCTTACATAACGATTCAAAGCGTTTTTAACAAACATAAATATTGTATCAAATATCATTCTATTAGTTCGTCTGAAATTATATATTTACAGTTACTTGTTCAGAAGCCAAAGTGAAAATTTTCAAACACATTTCTCATGGGAAAATTCTTCTTTCCTTAATATGATCTCTGTCAAGTCATAGAGTTTCCTAACGTATTCGATTGGAAACAAAATTAGTGTTTTGCTTCAAAGTTCTCAGTTTCAATCTCGATATCATCTTGGAAACAATAGTATTTTTATCTTTACTAAAAAAAAAAACTATATTTTCTTAAACATAAATTCTTAAATATCTCCTTTCTAGATTAAATAAGTAAATCACTAAAAGAGTTCTTTGTTCGTTGTAGAAAAAAAAAATATCTGGTAACAGGTGGTCTTGATTTCGAACAGAGAACTGAATATTTTATATAAGGAATTTCTCCTAAATAATGGCCGTGGAGCTGTTTTGTATACTTGTTGAATCATTCCTTTATTTTATTTAAGCAGCAGGTAAAATACTCAACCTGAATACAAATTAGACTGAACGCCATCTTTACTGATATCAAAAATAGTTACTCTGGATATCCATATAAATAATTCATAGGAAGAAAATATGTTCATATCTTTAACTGCGCTATCCAGATAAGAAACAAAACTAATACAGCTTATGCTAGATTGTTCTCAAAGTTCGATCATATTTTGTAGTCTTTTTGTAAATAAAAAAAAAAAAAAAAAAAAAAGTTTCCTTTTTTTAAATATTTGCTCTTGGAGAAGCGAAAAGCAGTGCATGAAAACATGCATGCATATCAAAAAAAATAAAATAATAAAGTAATAAAAGGCATAAAATTTCGAAATTGCTGAAGAGGGAACACCAGCTACTGTAAAAAAAAAGAAAGATAATATAAAGAACTTGAAAGTTTATCTCGTAAATAAATATTATGCTCGATAATTTAATAGATATGCTTAAAATAAGAAAATGCCGCTTGCAAAACCAGAAAGTAGTATCTAAAGTAAATCTAAAATTGCGTTAAATGTATTAAGTGCAGTTATAATGTTAATTAGTATTTTATTATTTAAGTACAATTTAATTTCAGATTTTCGACTTAACTATTTTAAAGCTTGTATAACCGCATTAGTAGTTCTTAACCGTAAAGGACTGCTGATTCAACGTCAAATTTTACACTTCCTTTACGGTCCAAATGGAATTAATAGCACAGAAGAGCTATTTATTTAGTTTTAGCATTTTGCGTCGATTCACTTTCTACGTTGATTCACTTTAAAAATTGTTGTCACCAAATATTACAGCCCTATATTATGTTTAAAGAAATTAAATAATAAAGAATATGCATAAATGTATGTATGTGTCTCGCGTTGTGATAAAACAACGGTACCTAGAGCCATCAAATTTTGAATAACATAATCCTCCCCGAATATGGATGGGCATCTGGAAGCCCTAATTTAAAATTTGGAATTTGTTTTACTATCTGTTTAATATTTTGTCAGATACTCGAGAATTTTTGATTAACAAACTCAACGATTTCAAAGCGAGGGAGGACAGCACTGTACGAAAAAAAAATTTTATCTCCAGCGCGCGAGACTGTGTATCGAAAATTCTAAAGATATGATCATTTTAACAGTTATTTTGCCATAGTGCTGTTGAATTGAGTTTTATGGTTTAGGTGCGAAGAACATGATATTTAATAAATTAACGTAACACACAAAACGTTAAGAAAAGACCCCTTTGGGCGTAAATATATTTTACATTACGCCCAAAGGGCTTTTAGGAAAAAGAAAATACAATCAAAACTAATAAAATATGAAAGCTTTCAGATTTTATTAGTTTTGATTGTATTTTTTTTTTTAATTTAGTATATGTTAGTTCTTTCTATTTCATGTATAACTTGTTAATTTTGTATTTAAGTCTAAAATGCAAGCCTAGTTCATTAATAGTTTGCTGCATTGCAATTGCGTTTTATATATATTTATAGAGACTATAAGGCATATTAATTTGGAGCAAGAAACGTGGAAAATGTGCCATGCCCTCGCCGGGATTCTAGCCCTTGACCTCCCGACTGCCAGCCACACGTGCTTTCCAGTTGCAACACTGAGGTACGTGGTAAAGAGGGAGAAAAAAACTTTACATGCTATGTTATTTTATTTTGTTACAATACAATTAAAAGTGTATTTTTACATTTAACTTGAAATAAGCGAATACTAATTGACTGAAAAAAATTACTTGCGTTTTGCCTAGAAACAGATGTTAGAAAGAAAGAAAAGTATACCTTTTCATACAGCTTCCTAATCGGACAGTTTTGTGTAGTAAAACTTCACAAATAACAATTTATTGCAGACATGTAAGTAATGGGGGACTTCCACGACAGGAAATTTGCAGCCTTTCAACGCGTTTATTTCCAAAAAAAGTAAATTTTATCTTAAGCATCGTTGTATGTATGCCAAAGGAATTATTTGAGAATGCCCATGAATATTATTACTAATCCATCCCTTTTCATTCCAGAGAAACGAAGGAAGATTGAATTTATAAACTTATTTTAAAACAAAGAACAAAAAAAGAAGAAAAAAATTAGAAAGAAAATCTGGAAAAGTAGCATTTTTGAAAGCAGGCGTTCCGGCTGTTTTCTGCATTTCTGAATCAAGCCTCCTTCTTAACTTCCGTAGTTTCTTCTTTCTTACTTTCTATAGTTCTATATCACAGAATAAAATCTTAAACTTTGAATTGTACATTTTTTTATACATGTTAAGTATCAGTAAACGACAAATGTTTTGCAGAAAATCCAGTGGAGCCGCATTAAATCATTTAACTCTCTAGGAAAGTGATATGTTAAGGTTGAACTAATCAAAAGGTCAAAGGAACTAAGCACTGCTAATGGCATAAACATGACTATGGTAATTGCAGACTAAGAAGAGATAAACACTGTTAGAGGATTGTGAATACCTTTGCATGCTTTAACTCAGGCGATACGATATATATATAACCACTAAAATGAGAATATAAAAATGTAAAAGGCTTACTAATCTCAATCTACAAAGATATTAAGATTCAATTATTAGCATACTATGTTTCAGTTAAATGAATAAAAGCTTTTGTTTTTCATAGTGAATATACAGCGACTGACAACTCATTCGACCTTCGAGGGTTTCTTGGTACAAGCAATCGACAAAATGACCGGAAGGCTGATTGGTCGGTTCTTAGACGCTGATGGTCTCTATCTGATGGATGAATGCTCAGCTGTTACTCACAAAAACAACAAACAAAAAACTGCGGTCCATTTAGCGTGGGTAGCTCCACTCAACCAGAGAGGTGACGTAATCTTCAGGTACATTATATATTTTTTCTTTCTTATTTACCAAAGAATTTTCGAGTCCTTGAATTGTAGTTATGAAAGAAATCGTTAAGTTATATTTCTGAATTTGTAATTCATAAAATATCGATGTATCATGCCAGAATTTTATGCTACAAAGATAAGCATAAAATAAATCTTCATTCTTTATGAAACACATAAATGAAAACATTACGCCAATTCACGAAGATTTATTCGATACCAACGGGTGTAAATACGCCGAAACACTCACAGGTAGATGAAATTTGAAGTTCCACCGCTATCATGTTGAACACCTCTATCATGTCTGTACCGCTATCATGCTTGAACAACTCAGTTCTGAATATAAATTATAACAGACAGAGAGACACATATGATAAATGGCAAACTTTAATTTAAGTACTCGAGTAAAATATTGTAAAAAATCACAGGGCTGGATCGCAAGTTTAGTTGAATACGAAAGAGCGCCCGAGCGCTGACTGTCTAAGAGGAGCGATGCTTTAGAGAATGACTTTCTAGGAGATATTTCTAGGCTGAATCAAGCAGTGTTTCAGAAAATAGCATTTGAAGCTAATAAGTGAACAAATTTATCGTACAGCACTAAATATATGAGAACTACAAGTAGTATCATCTCATAATTAAGTAGAATGATTCCAACATTTTTCTCTCAAATATAAAGCCTTAGTCAAGTATTCTGCCGAAAAGGAATTTCACCTGTTCTGTTTGGAGTTACTGCGTGGAATTTCAGCATAACTCAAATATATACTGAATAACACGTGAGATGAGAAAGTTACACAGATAATTTAGATGAATTTATCGGTAATCTAAATTCCTGATTATTTATGTTTCTTAGCTTTCGTTCATTATAAATCCTTATTTTTCATTTATTGTAATTAAATTTTTCCACTGAGCATTAATGTCTGCTGAAGAGGGATGAAAGAAAGAAATAGCAAATCAAAATTTGAAAACTATTGTTTCGAATTATACCAAGCAATAAAAGTTAAAAGTTTATTTCAGACATCGATAAATTTTCTTAACTACCTCCTGGAATGTGATACAATTTCCTTTACCTTGAATAACATTCAAAAGAGAGGACATAACCGAGTGTTTTTATTTTTTTTTTAAGTGGAAACCGTCTTCAAAATAAAAAATTTGGCCAAAAATGTAAGATTACTTCGTCAGTTTTTGTATCAGAACTTAAACTCAATTGATACAAATTTCAACATAGACAAACATTAAGGATTTTAACATAAACATCTTATGAAGCAGGATTATCACGTTTCGAGGGAACCGTTACGATGATAAATCATATATTTCTAAAATGCTTAAAAATTAAATATTATCGGCAATCAGCTTGAAACAAAATTTTTAATGCCATCAGCAAAACCTTGTATAACCCTGTCCCACTTTTCAAGTAGCAAGTGATGACTTACTTCTAAACTGCAAACAGTATGTCATTATATACTTGATATTCTGTCATTCTAAAAGAATTCATCATCAAAATCCACGCAAATAATGAACATCAATGTAATTCCGTAATAATTTGTATCTCTGTTTATGCTTTATTGAATTTCATGGTATACCTGCAGCTATAAGGTAATTCAAATAACATTGAGAATCGTTGAACTATGGTCAAATTCTATACAGTTAGTCATAATTAGTATGCTCACTCATAATTATATATAGTCATATATGAGTGGCATAAATAATACGCATGCTCTGATTGGATTAAAAGAACTGAAGTTTCAAATTATGTAGTACGAATCTTACATCAAAAGTGAAAAAAATAATACATCTTCATTTAATAATTCACATTGGTCTGTTAGTTCTTCTTCTTACTTTGCTTCTAATGTAATAATGCAGGAAACTTCTTCACTTGATGAATTAATTTTTTTTGGAGCCTACCATATTCATTAAAAAATGTGACATTTTCTTAATGATTGTATTCATAATTTTCCAAAACGTGTCTTGAAGACCTACCTTGTGAAATGTGCTTTCCTTCTTTATTGTTTGTCTTCTTTTCCTCCGATTTTGCAAAATAAATGCTGACAGGTACTTACATTTAAGGTTACGCAGTTGTAAAAGCATCCACAACATATTGCTCCTGAAGAAATAAAAACGAGTCAAATTGTATTTCGAAATGCTACAGCATTTTTTGGAAATCAGCTGCAACACCTGACATTAGTTTTTCCTTTAAAACGACTATTAAAATATAGATTATTTTATAACCGCAGATATAAAGCGATAGAGTTAAAACGTATGAAAGTACATAAATTTTATGTCATAATTGTTTATAGTCATAAAAAGAAGATAGATATAGTGATAAGCAAACGATTTCTTTTTAGTAAAAGTAATGACTTGGATTAGTAAAATGTCATATTTTTTGGGAAATTTTTAGCTGTAAGGAGAAATTTTTTACTGTTATCTTTATTTTCCATGGATGAAAATTTTCTGGGTATTGATAAGCTGCGATGTATAACTCATGTGAAAATTCAAAGGAAAAGGATGTATAATTCAAATATAAAAAGATTTTCGAAGGTTTTTCCGAATACATAAATGTACCGTAATTAAAGAATTGTCTTCCATGTTTTGAACTCTAACGAGCAAAAGGAAAACCTCTGAACAGTAGCTTATCGAGGATTCCGAAGTAAAGAATTTGCAAAAAGTGAGAATAAGCATAATTGCAGTTATATTTCTTTGTTTTGTAAATTAATACTATTGTGTAAGCATTGCGATTCAGATAAATGAAGCATCTGTTTTCGTGTATGAAAATAAATTTCAAATTATCATGCTTTTGATCAATAAAAAATTATCTAAACATCTGACTTTTTCTAATAAAAATTGCTATATCTTAATCTTTATATACTGTTATGGACTATCCTAAATACATGGTCATTAATTTACAAAGTAAGCGTATTTGGTTGGTCTGCAAATAAATTTTAAAATAAACTCTGTGTTTTTAACGAACGAAACGGGTGGAAAATCATTATTGTTGTGGTGGTGGTGGTGGTGGTGGTTTATCTTATTTGTCTGACAGTAACATCAAAACAAGACCACGAAATTCATCGTCGCAAGGAGTGGAAGACTTTGCCGTCGTTGGTAAGTAAGTTGGTTGGGCACCATACAGGTAACAGTACGACTTTGCTCATTTCCGCCCCCAGTTCTGATGGAGAGCACCCCGGGGGACGGGTCCTAGGGTCTTCCACACCCTCTTACCCTACCACCAACCTCTCGAGAAGGTTTTCGGCTCACCGCATATTTATGCCTCGCAATCACTATACATTTACAAACATCCATGTCTTCTTCGGGATTCGAACCCGAGCCCTCCGTAGGGCAGTCAGCGTCGCTAACCACTATCCCGGTTGGAGGCGGGAAATCATTAAATATACTTTGTCAGAATTATTATGCTTCCCAAACGGGGTAGTGGTTAGTGACGCTTTTTACCGTACCGAAAGGCCCGGGTTTAAATCCAGGAGAAGACATGGATGTTCATAAATGTGCATGCATAGATGTTCGTATCTTTGCGGCATGGGGGAGCACTCAAGATATATGGGGAGTCGAAAGTCCTCTCTTGTGGTTCGGGGGTGTGGAAAGAGGGATGGGAGACACTCAGACCCGTCCTCAAAGTGCTCTCCTTCCCTCGGACCCGTCCTTGGGACTCTTCCGGAGGAACTTGGTAAAATCATTTTTGGTAAAATCAAGACTCATGTCAACAACAAACGCAGTCTTACACTTCCTACCATGATAAAATACCACGGCGGGTTGTTCTGATTAGGTCAAATAAGTGAGATTAGCCACAACACCACAGCAACAACAGCAGCAACAGAATTGTTATTAAGCAGTGTGATTGAGCTAATAGCTGAACTCATTTTAGAGCGGTTACATGAAGTGTTAGATCATTTGCAATTCAAGTTTATTTATTTATTTTAAATTGGTGTAAAATACAGATACGATTTTAAGTGATGACTCATTTGTTAGACGATATAATTTTAATTTTATGTTCTATAGCGTAATTATATTATCTATACTAATGAATGCATAATTTTGCAAAACATTGCTCATTACTATTACGTATAGATGATACTAGGACGAATTTTGATAATAGAAAATATATTCGAAATGATCATTAATATATGTCTTTAGCTTTATCAAATTTTTATAACAACTTAATGAAATTGCCCTTGTCCGTTATCAAAAAAGATTTTTTTCTTTTTCTCTCCATTTTTATTGCAAATTTATGGCAATGTGAATTTATATTGGCTGTAAAAAAAGAGTGATTAATTCTCATATACAGTCAAAAGTCTTTAATCCAGACTCGTCGGGACTTCGGCGATTTCGGATTATCGATTTTTCTGGATTATAGATCATCACTTTAAATCTGGTAAGATGACATGCAGAAATTATAAAATTAAAAATATGAAACCGCAATTTATGAAATAAAGAGCAATTATGATCTAAAGGGTATCAAAATTTACAAAAAAAAGTTTAATATTATTTGTTTACTTTATTAAACATTTATTTCAATGTAATTGCAAGTGCTTTGTTTTATGCATAATACTTTCTCTTTATTCTATAAACAGACATAGTTAGACAAAGTTCCGCTGTTAGAAATTGCAACAGAACCGACTAATTAATCGAAATGTATTCGTGATTTCTTCACTATCGAAGCGAGGACGAGAAATTTCAATTTAAATCATATCAAAGACGGAGTACATCGAGATGAAATACTACATTTAGTAAGGAATTATAAGCTGAATAAAATAAAAAACATCTGCCCTGAAGATAAGGATAGTGCTGACAGATCAACTTCCAGTTCATTGCGCACCGCGTCGTCCCCCCCCCCTCAGAGCCACGTGAAATTGATAACAGATTTCGGAATGGTTAGAGAAACAAAGGATATGCCTTTATCCATTTTTTGCAGCAGCAATTCCACTTTTTGTTTGATGGACATCAAACACCTACTTCGCTTTGTAGATCCTTCGGCAGCTCCAGAATTGGAAATTCTTTTTGACATAATCGAAAGTTCAAGCTTACTTTTATAAAATTGCTCTAACAGTCTACAAAAAATAATAAGCCGGATTCAAGTCGAGGATTAAGGAACAACACACTCTGCAACATTAACTGAAATTAGGTAATTTTAGCTTATACCGTCCGTTATACATTAAACGTGCACGCGTAAACGTATTATACGCATGCGCACACGCATATGCGCAGCCGTAAAGGTCTTACGTGCATGCGTCAACGCGACGCATGCGCAGAAAGTTTGTAGCTTTGAGGTCCGGATTACGGGTGTCCGAATTAACGACTTTTGACTGTATCTCTTATCTCTTTCATGTATCATATATTTCTTTCTATTTGATGTTGCAAAGTAGTTTTATCATTTACTAAAATTTAAATATTTAATGTTACTGCTTTTCTCTTTTTTTTTTTCTTTTTTTTTTTTTTTTTTTTTTCCCAGAGGTACAATAATCGAGAGAAAAAACAAATATTATGAAGGCCTGATATCTCGCTTAGAACCCTCAAGAACAAGAAAATCTTTGTTTGATGTCGTTGTGCGTTTAGTCTCCGAACGCAATGACACATGATGGAAAATACTTCAATAAAACCTAAACAATTTTATATATATGTAATTGTATATTTTTTTTAAACATTGGAACTTAAATATAGTCAGAATTGTTGTATTTAATGTATAGTGCTTCTAATGAAATTTTTATTAAATAATAAAGACATATCGAAATAATCAAATGGGGATTAAAAAAATTATAATGTCTTCCTAAAACCTTATGTTAGATTCAGAATAAAGTGACTGAAACTTTTTGTTTGATGGTATTCCAAATTCTTTCTTTACACTAAAGTCGTACATTAGTGTCACTTCGAAAATTTAAAACAAACGCTTTTAATTAAACTAACGACAAAAATATGAAATGACTTTTATATTATATCTCAAAATTTTTTATTATTTCGAAAACTTTTGTTTTAGTCATTCATTATAATGTTGATTTCAAGCAGCACATTAAGGGCAAATATGGCGACTGAATTTTTTTTAATTTTTCGAAATGTCTTGAAATTTTAAATTTGTTTTAAACTTTTCGGTACAACGCTCAGAAATATTTCGTTGAAAGAAGGTGCGCAAATGATTTCAATTGATAATTCAGCAGCCAATGTATACAATGTATGGCATTAGAAATGTCTTTAATATAAACTTTGAGATGTCTAAATTGCTCGAGTTTACTTGCTTTAATTCTTTTAATTTAATTATTATGAATGCGAGTCCGTTAACTGCTTAATAAGCCATATCATCTCCTCTGCAACAATTCTTAAAAGAAAATGATATCTTGTAGCGAAATTAAGTATTACCTCACTCAAAACATTGCTGTACATCAAAAGTCATTTCAAACTTCCCATTCATTTTTACGCAATACTAATATGAACTTATATTTATTATAAATAAGGGGAAAAAAGATAATGTTCCTCTGACTATTATGGCCAAATATGATGGCACTTCTTCCCATTGCATTTGTGTTACAAACTGCTGGATCACTATTGCAGTATCTTGAAAATTTACTTCAAAACAGATTTCTTTGTATATATCCATATTTCTAGCTAATAAAAAAATTAATTAAAATTTGTTGGAACCAATCTTAATACAAAATGTGGCCCGCGGACAACCAGTGGTCCTCGAATCCTGCCCTTCTGGGTTTCAAATAAATATTACAATAAATTCAAATTAACTGCTTAGCCACATTGTAGCTCAAAATCTCAGAATTTGGAAATTACACATGTCAATCATCTATCACCTTATTCTCTCAAGTCTTCTGAAATTTATTACCAGATTTTCCACTGTCGTCTTAACAGCAAAAGGGGGATAATGCACTATGACTATGGTGCTTGTTACCAGAATACATCCAGATGTAAAACAGTTATGCAAAAATCGGCAGGCTCATCCATCGCATTAATGCGATTATTTAATTTTATTTGACATTTATTTGATTTTTAATTAATAAGATAAAAATTACCCAAATCGTAATAGGCTTCAGTTCTTAAAAACAAATATTAATTGTCTTCTGTTAACTTAGTTATTCAATACTATTATAAATTTAAATGAAATTTGGCTAATCTTATCTTTAACATATAAGTATATGTTAGAAATAAGATATTCTAATAAAAATAAGTTTTGCTATGGTAATAAGACATGCTAAAATTTTCTTCGAAACAGAAAAAATTAAGGTGGTCCGCAGGACACATTCTAATTTATAAAAGTGGTCCCTTTTCCAAAAGCTTTTGAGAAACGCTGCCTCATATGAATATTATTATTCTTCTCAGTGATAATGACATCTCAATGGTAAACACCAGTGGTTTTTAATCCACTAAGAATAAAATTCAGAAATTTTTGCCAGTCGACGAGGAGTAAGACCTTTTACTTACTTCCTATATTATAAAAGTGTGCTATCCACTATGGCAGAAAGTGAATCATTTAAAAAATATTTTATCTGCATTCCGTAATAGAAAATTGTAACAAGTGTTATTTTAAATACCCGTATGCAAAAGAGAATTTTCCATTATGTCAAATTTCTGAAAACCTGAAGAGCAGATTATAATGAAGTTTGGTATGAATAGGCATTTATAACGGAGAAAGAGATGTACCATTTTATGTACGCATGATCATCTGTGAAGCTGATAGTGCAGAGAAGTCCAAAATCCATTTTGTGATATCGAACTGAAAATGAGCCTATTATGAGGTATGGATCCTTCACATAGTAAGACAGGTTGCGCAATGTGACTGCTTAATGCACAGCAGACAGTTGCAGAAGCAATACAGCGGTGTGTGATGCTGTCAATTATGCGGTCTATCAGTTATGTATGAAGTGAGAGCCATTGCTCTTGAAAAGGATTTGTCTAGAGAGGAGGATTGAGAGCTTCTATACGTGTTCCTAGAACACAGCTCGATAGGATTTAAGGTTTCGTGATCGAGCTGGCCGCTCCATCCGCTGAATTGTTTTCTGCTGAAGATAATCATCCACAATGAGAGCCCTGTACAGTCTTAGCGTTATCATCCTATAGCAGGAAATTATCGCCTAGTGCACCGGCTTAAGGGTGCACATAAGCATCAAGGATGTCATCTCTATAGGGCGGAGCATTCATGGTTCCACGTGGAAAGACATGGAGGTCTGAGCGTCCATCCAAAGAGATACCACCCCAAACACAGACTCTGCCTCCTCCGTATGCATATCTGCTCACGTATGTTTGATGCATAATAACCGGTTCCAGGTTCTGTCTAAATCAAATAACTCCTACTATATATTTATAGGCTAAACCTAGACTCATCCGTAAAGAGAACAGCCCTCCATTGATCAGCTGTCCATTGAACATGTTGACGTGTCTACCCCTAACGTTTCTTTCTATGATGTAACGTGGGCGGCACTCAAATGACTGGTCGCCGCGCGTACAGAACTACTACGCCCGGTTGACGTTGACACTAACCTTCCAATGGCTACAGCAAGGAAGGATCTGAGTTGAGTCGGAGTTGAGGTTCTATTCCTTCGTGAGTATAATAACAAATATCGGTCATCAATGCTCGTCGCAGCGGTTGGCCTTCTTTGGCTGAACTTTCTGGATGCCTAATCTGTAGTTAGAAATTTATGCCAAAGTCTATGAACCACAGAAGGACTCACATTTAACGATCGAGCCACTTCTGTCTGACTTCTGTCTGTTCTGCCTCAAGTCTCCCAATAGCTCTCCACCGCAGTTCGTCTGGCAAATGATGCATGCCTGGAGATCATTGTTAAAAATTGGTTATCCCAATTTTTTTATCTTACTATCACAGCGAAATTTTCAGGCTTCTTCTGAAACAACGCAGTTTATACTGGTCTCCTCACAGATGTCGTATTTGGATTGCAGCGCCACTAATTTGCATACTGCAGTTTTACTCAGAAATTCTTATTTGACAGCATATTCAAATTTCATACGGATTGGCTTATTTTTTAACAAATTTTTGAATTTTGAAGTTTAATTCTTTTTCGGGGTCTTAAACATTAAACGTTAGACTATAGTCTAATGTTACTGAAGTTTTCAGGTGTCAAAAATTCCCCTTACCTTTGACTAGCTGTCAGATTTAAAATCTACAATTCAGTCAGACCCTTCAGATTTCAAGCTACTGTAAATGCAGATGTTTTCTGAGTACTATGTTAACACAGCTGTTCATATATGTTGTGCTTTAATGAACAGACATTCAACGGCAATTCACGCTCTTTGTAGCGCATGTTCATGTCGAAAAGTTTGCTTTCTGGGGACAATTGTTATTTATTACAAGTGCTGAAAACATACGTTTTGCTTTATGTCATCCCATCATTCATGACCCAAATTTTGTGCAGCAGCAGAAGTTTTATATCATAGAGATTTCATAGGCGTTGTTATAGTTAATTGTCAGAAAGTTTCCTTCCTAACTCTGTCCTCGGGGCTCCAAACTGATGTTACGAAATTTTAGGTGGAAACATTTTCGATTCTTGGCAAACAGGAAGGAGGGCGAAATCTTTATTTGTGCCCAGGCTATGAAAACCCTAGTTACATCTCTGCCTTCCATGCTTTCTTTTACACATATGTCAAATGAACAGATACGAAAATTCGCATATTTCTATGTAATGAAGGTAAATCCAGTTGGACTACATGACAGTGTCGACCTTGACCAATTAACTCCTTTTATAGACCTTCACTTTTTAGAACCAACCTTTTTGTAGTTATTTCTTTATATTTTCAGGTCAATAGCTACTCCCATAACAATATTTACTAGTTCATTGGTTTTAGGATTAAAAATACGCCCTAACAGGGCTTGCGACAGAATTTGAGCAACCGAAGCCACTGCACCGAACGACAAATTTTAATGGCAGCAAATTTTTTGAATTTACCAACGAACAGGGTGATGGAATTTTCGAATTCCGAAGTTCTCACCGAGCGATGAAAAATCTAGTGTCAACCTATTTCTAAAATTTAGCGCTAACTAATGGACCTTTTTTGTATTTTTAATGATTAAAGGTCGTTTCAGATGTTCAGCTTCATTGGGATATTGTGGTAAGTATTATTGATCATAGCGTTAAGATAAACACCATAGAAGCAACCTGTAAAGCCGATTTTATCATCTTTTATACTTAATTATATAAACGCTTACATACATTTTTTAGTAAATCGTAGTGCATTTTACATGATTTCACGATAATAAGTCTAACTCGTGTGGCAGTAGGCTTATGGACGAAACGACTCGTCTTTTCAACCGGGTGAAACATGGTTCGTGCATTCAAGGCCCATACACACTAGTGGAATTGTGAGCCCAAGAAACGCAAGAGAATATGATGGCACCAATAGGCCACATTTTAAAGTAATTAATTTTACGCACAGAGAAAATATCTGTTTCCCTCTTGAATTTTTGCATGACATTATCCCCTAAACTGCTTTTATGATAAAAATGCGTAGATACACAATTTTATCAGAAAACGAGGAGCCGTCAAGTTTGTGGGCGTTCATTGGGCTTCAGCTAGTGCAAACGGGCCATCGGACTACACTTATAAGCTAAGGTAAATAAGCTATACTCATCTACCCATCAGAAAAATAATGCTTTAATAAACGGAAACTTTTAACAACGAGAATATAAAAAGCTTACTTTGACTCTGTGTTGCCTGTAGCTCAACCAAGCAGGAGACAACTTCTGCGTCAGAAGGATTATTCAACCTAGATACGTTAAGTTCTAGGTTGAGTAACGGTTCTTGGGTATTGCTAATTCTTGTAGAAATTCTAGTGTTGTTTGTTCTAAGGAAAAAATCTGATGCTGTTA